GAAGTTTTGATAAGACTAAGCTATATTTGCACCTGCTGGGAAAACATAATTTTTTTATTTACTTGCCTAAGATATCTAGAATATTTTAGAATTCTGAGGACTGCTAAATTTTATTTAAAGAAAATAGATTCTTTGATATTTGTGCACCTTAAGCTTTGTTTTTTTGCGAGAACCTTAATGAGTAATGTACTTTTATAACGGAAAAAACAAATGAAAGATCTTACGTATCGTCCACTAGCAACAACGGCTTCACTCATCTGAAATAACAGTTATTTGCAACTAAGAGATAACTGAAAACGATATTGTAAAATTTCTTAGAGATAGATATGTTTTGAATTCCAGATATTTGTAAATAATATTCTCTGAGAAATAAACAATACACTTTAATAGTTTCTGAATAATGCTCTTTATAAATAAATACTCTCTAAAATATTTATTAATTCTAAAGAAGAATTCTTCCGATTTTGTGACAACGCTATTCCACGACACCCGACGCAGTTTTCGAAGCTCACCTCGATCTGCATTCTGTTTTGTTTCGCTTCCGAGTTGAGAGAACAGTTGGGGCACGCGTGCACGTGACCTTGAGCTAACTGAGATGGCGATATGCAGTCGAAGCAGTGAACACACATTCGACAGAGGGTGGTACATGTATCAACAAACATTCCATGCAAACTTTGAGGTACACATACTGTTCAGTCGAGCATATATATACACATATATTTGTGATAATAAGACAAGTATTGCCGTTGCGCACGTAAATCTTAAAAAGATAAAATGCTTTCTAGACGACAAACCTAATTGTTCATTTCTGTGATGGAAATTGCAGAGAAGTCAGAAACTTCAGTTTATTAGAAGGTGTTCACACTATGGCATGTAAGTGGTGCTAACAGCGTTTTGCCTCCTAATCTAGCATAATGTATTTGGTTTAAATACTTCAGCTTTCCACAACTAATTGGATATCTACTAACTTCTTAAGCGTAAAGCTCAGAAAATGTAAAAAAAAGAGGAAGAAGACTAAAAAAAATTGTAATCTCACTATTACTTCGAATATTTTGAAAATGAGGCGGGGTGGCAGTTAAAATAAAAATTATATAAATGAATTCTGCGAATTTATCTCTGATTAATGATTAATGATTAATACATAATTAATGAAATACTGATTCATCTTAATTACAGATTTATCATTAATTAATTGCTGGTAATTAATCATCATTAATTCATCACTGATTCCTCTATATTATTTACTTAAGTAACATCATTAAATAATCCCTGCTTCCTGATCATAGATTCATCATTAATTAATTATTAATTCTTTATTGATTAGTTACGAATAATTCATAGTAAATATTATCGATTACTCCTTAATTAATCCTTAGTTAATGATCATAGTTTCATTACTGCTTCCTTATTAAGTCTTATTAAGTCACAGTTTACTAATCACTAATAAATGATTAATTAATAGTCATTAATAATTAGCATCGTTGATTAATCTATGGTTAATGATAATAGATCTATCATTAATTAATAATTTATCATTGATTAGTTAGTAATAACTAACACGATTAACTCATCACTGATTTATCGTTATTGATACATTATTAAGTCACTATTGGCTAATTACGAATAATTAATTCATCATTAATATCAAACATAATACTTAATCATTAACTAATAATTAATATCATTAATTAATCCTAATTAATGTTCATAGATTCATCGCTGATTAATAATTTATTCATGAATGCTATTTTTCATCATTAATTCCTCATACGTCTTTTATATTTAACATCATTAATCATTAATAATTATTACTATCATCACTCATAAATAACTAACATTGATGTTAATCATAATAATTAATATAAGTGTCAATTAATAATTTCCACCACTCATTTTAACATAATTACAGAAGCCTTTTTGCCTTTGCTGAAAAGTAATTTTGAAAATTTTGCTTTATCACATATATCTTGCTGAAATTTCGGAAGGATGATATCTAAACATCGCGAAATGAAAGGTGAAGATACTTTAAAATGAGACAAAGAAATTGGTTATTTTTACTTTATTTTTTTTAAATGTAACTTTAACGTTTTATCGTAATTTTAATGACAGCGAAATAATTTTGTAACATTCCTTGTGTAAAAAATTCTCATGAAATTGTAATGGCGTTTAAATAAACATTCTTATGATTCACTTAAAAATCGCCAAAGTTTGAATAAGTTGCTAAATTTATCGATGCATAACGAAATAGTTTATATTCCAGCAAGGGAAGTACTTGTTTTTCATGATGAAAAAAGGCAAACAGAACTTGACTATTTAGCAATGAAGATATAGTTCATATTTAAAATGAAGATATAGTTACAAATGGGAAAACAATTTTATAAAATTTCAAATTTCATAGATAAAAATGTATTTTGCATTTCAGACTAAAAGTAGAAAAGTTTTCGCAAAGGTTACGAAAAATTCATAAAGGTTGGCAGAAATAATTTTGTTACAGTAACTTTTCCTTTATTATAGTTTAGGTGCCTAATCTCTATTTTTTTTTTTTTTTGACCAGAGTAATACTTAATACTTCTATTAATAATTAAATTAATTATCAGTATTCACCAGTCATCAGTAACTAGCATTAATAATTAAATATTAACGTAATTGATTAATTATTAATAACTAAAATCATTAATTTTTCACTGATTCATAATTGTTAATCAATCGTTAAGTCACAGTTGATTAATGATTAATAATTGGTTCATGTAAATTATCATTAATAATAGCAGGATCATTAATCATTAATTACTAATTTACGTCAACAATTTATCTCTTGTTAATCATCAAGGACTCATCACTGATTAATGATTAATACATCATTGATTATTCATCAATAGTTCATAACTAGCATTATTGATTAATTATTAATAATTAACAACATTAATGCATCATTATTGATTAATTATTAATTCAAAGTTGACTGAGAGTTAACAACTGATTAGTCATTCATAGTTAAATCATTAATAATTCACATCATTGGTTAAGTACTGACTAATAATTTCACAAAATAATTATTGAATAATCATTAATAATTCATATTTAACATTATAGATTAATCATTAATAACTACACATTATTAATTCATTATTAACTCCCAGTTGACTAATCCTGAATAATTGATTCATCATTAATTCACCATTGATTAGTCATTAATAACTATCATAATAATTATTAATTAATTAATCGCTAGTTAATGATCATAGATTCATCACTGAATAATCATTCATTCATCTTCAGTCATCACAGTCGAAATTAATCACAATTATTATAAGAAATGCCAACATTTTCCTTAGAACTTACATTAGTGACACTTGAGAGCCATAGTATGAAAGCAACCTTGAATACTGTCTCAGAACCAGTTATTATTCTGATATCATTAATTAAACAGTTATCATAATAGGAAATTGGGAATGGTTCGGACCGTTGAAAACGAGCAATTTGGGAATAGATAGTTCCTAGTTAGTCCTCCTCCTCAACTCCCTCCCCAACATCAACTTAAATTAAAACTAAAGTGTTTGGAAAAAGACTTTAAATAAGATTGATTTTCGAAAAGACTTTTAAAACAGAAAGTGCCAGGGAATTCACTGTTATGTATGAGTACAAGAAAACTGCCAGTCAGACACTTCTAGAAGATGATTAATTAAAAATGCTTGCCAGTGTGAAAAAATATGTTTTTGAAACGCCACAAAAGAAAGTTACAGTAAAATTGCAGTAGGGTTTTCACAAGCAGAAATACAATTTTAGATGTTATAGTTTTACATCATGCTTTAAAATTATAGTTTAAGAGGTTCCACAAAAGAAAAGAAGAGTTTTAATTACTACTATCACTACTAGTACAAAATATACACAAAGGTAAAATTGTTAAAATTACAGGTTCCACAAAAGGTAATAGTTTAAGAGTGCCCACAAAGGCTATTTATTATTTTAGGGATTCCGCAGAAGTTATAAAGAAGAAAATTGTAATTTTACGGAGTTTTACAAAAGAAAATTATGACTTTTTGAATTCCATGAAAAAATCAATGCCTTCTGGGGTTCTATAAAAGAATATTTTATTTTAAGGATTCCATAATCCGTGAAAGAATCTGCTGATAACCCAACCCCATTTGTTTCTTGAATAAATATAAATTTAGAGAGGATTTGGACCTCTCCTTTTGTTATAAATAACTATAACTCGTTTTTAACAATTGTTATTCTAATCAATATTTTTTCTAACCGTATTTGGAGGTCTTGGCTTCGACTTATTCTTAAATATTAAATTAACTGCGTAAAGGGAGTTTGTCCGTATACTTAGTAGGTTTGCTAAAAACGTAGTTTTACAGATGAAGGTTAATGAGATTCTACTTACTAAGCAACGGTTCCAATAAAAGGAAATAAATTTCCAAACATTTTAACTTTTTTGATTACTTGTTTACTCTTTTCTTTCTATGCAATAAAATAAATAAAATGGAGCGATGATGAGATGAATACAAAATTTTATTCGATCTGAATTTTGAAAGGCTCTCCAAATTCAAACAAAATTTTAGTTTAGGAGTTTCACAAAAAAAGAATTATAGTTTTAGGTATTCTACTAAAGAAGATTAAACTTTTAGGGGCTCCAGAATGAGAAAATTATAATTATAGGAAATCCACAAAAGGACTTGTAGTTTTATAGGTTCCACAATTGAAAACTATAGTTTCAGGGTTTCCATAAAAAAAAAAAAAAATTGTAGTTTTAAGCGTTCCACAATAGTTTCAGATTGTCCAACACAAATTATAGTTTTAGGATTGCTGAAACTAAAATAATAATTTTCAGGATTCCATAAAAATTTTAGCTTTAGATATAGTTATCCACAAAAGAAAATAAAGTTTTCGTAATTCTACAGAAGAAAGTTATAATTTTGAGAGTTCCACAAAATGACAATTACTGAAATTCCTCGCAAAGGTGAAGTTTCATTGGTTCCGTAAAAGAAAATTATAATTTCAAGAATTTCGTAAAATAAAACTGCAGTTTTAAGGATTCGACAAAAAATTATAGTTTAGAGATTCCATCAAAAGTTATAGCTTTAGAATATGAGGAAATGAAAATAATAATTTTAGGGATTCCATAAAAAATTTAATTTTAAATATAATGGTCCACAAAAGAAAGTTATAGTTTTGAAAGTTTCGCAAAAGAAAATTATAGTTTAAGGAGCTCCACAAAACGAAAATCAAAGTTTGTTTGTTCCGCAAAAATTACAGTTTTAGGAGTTGCGGAAAAGAAAATGATAGTTTTTAGGGATTGCCTAAAGATTTTAGATTTAGTTTCAGATAGAAGCATCCACTAATGAAGATTACAGTTTTTGTGGTTCCTCACACACACACAAAAAAAAAAAAAAAAAAAAAAAACTATAGTTTCAGGTGTTCTGCAAAAGAAAATGATAGTTTTGATGGGTTCCATATGGCCTTGAGGTGAGAGGGAAAAAGAAATAATATTTTACTAAGTACTAATTTTTTTTTTAAATTTTAACACTGTTTAATGATACAGAGATTTAAGAACATCGTTTCTCAAAATCTAATTACATTTATCAGGAAAATGACAGTATAATTTACTAAATTAAGTAACTGAGAAAAAAATTGCAATATATAAACTAAATAAAGTAAAAATTACTCATATCCGTTCTATTCTTCTGGAAGTGTTTTTACGGCAAATTTTATGTAAATTAATATAAAAGATAAAAGATTTTATCTCGCACATTTTTTAAAGATAGAGCATAATTGCTGTTCAAAATAAACAAGCTCTCATGATCATTAGTATCATTGATTAATCATTAAAAATTAACATTTAATCATTGAAAATAATCATTGAAATTAATTTGATTGATTAATCATTGAAAATTAACTCATTATTGAATAATCACTAATAATTAATCCAATGTTAATTTAACATTAGTAATTAACATCATTGGCAGTGTTTTGCACATATTTTACAGATTTAAAAAACTTGGCACGTTTTGTTTTGAAACAGTCATTTTGTTCATTATTGTATTATTGACAGATTTTTGTCAAAAATGGGAGGTTGTTTGGAAAATCGATTTTAAAGCACTTTATTTTATTCTTTTACTATACTTCAAGTTACACTTTCTTAAGCACTTAAGTATATAGAGCATTCAGGTGGATTATAATTAAAAGTCAACATTAATTAAATTTCATCAGCTTTAGTAAATTTAAACTCAATTCCTCTTTATAAAAAAATCTTAACTTTCCATCAATTCATTTCATTTAATTAATAAAGTTTCGAATCAATTAAGCATGTTTAATCTTATAAAGTAACATTTTAAAACAATTTTAATTTTGACTTTCCGCTTTCCCAATATTTTTTTTTCGGAGCTTTGTGTAATAATATTGGAACATTTAACATCCATGTTTTTGCCCATTGTCATCATTCTAGGGCCTTTAATTTCCATGAGCAAAAGAATTTTTACCATGTGTTCAATATACAGCATTTGAAATAATTTTCATTAATTGCAATAATTTGAAGGATGATAATGAAATTAGCTGTTGTATTTATTATAAATAACACAAAACGCAATTTTTGAAACTCATTTCTCGATCTAGGACAGGCATCATTGCTGTCTGTTAAAGGTAATTGTTTAGATCACTAGTCAGCAGTGACTGCCGACTCTTGGGTAGTGCAATATTTAATAAAGCGACTACTCTGATCAAAGTGCGTGGATGATAAATGCAAGGTAGTCTAATTTAAACACTCTAAAAATTATGTAAATTAGGAGTTTTGATGAACAAAACGTAAGAATTTTGCAGCTAAAAGTCCCCCAAAATAAAAGAATGTTACAATTAAAAACATTGCTTTAAGAAATGTGAGAATTTTACACCTTAAAAGCCCTCATTACATTAAAAAAGTAAAACCTCCGCAGCTGAAAGAAATCGTTAGCTTAAGAACTGTTAGAAATTTACAGTCTAAAGCCCTCATTACAATGAAAAATTGTGAGAACTTTACAGTTTTAAGTCCTCATTACATCTCATAATCTACGAATTTCACAGCTTAAAACCCTCACTAAATTCAGAACTGTAAGGAGTTTACAGTTTTAAGCTCTCATTACCTCCAAGAATGCAAGAAATTTACAACTTAAACTTTTACTGCCTCTGACAAATGTAAGAATTTTGCAACTTAAATCTTTCAATACATTAAAATCCTAAAAAATATTTACAGCTCAAAACCCTTATTACAAACTTAAAAAAGTGTAAGAATTTTACAGCTTAAAGCTCTCATTACATCTAAATTTATAAGAATTTTACAGCTTTAGGCTGTCATTAGCTCGAAAAATATAAGAACTCTACTGGTTAAAGCATTCACAAGCTCCCCAAGTATAAGAAGTTTACAACTTAAAACACTCATTAGCTCCAAAAATGTTGAAATTACACAGCTGAAAGTATTCATTGTAAACTTCCAGAAATGCAAGAACTTTATAGTTTAAAGCCACTCATTAGCAAAAGAACATAAGAATGCTTACATTTTAAAGCACTCATTAGCTCAAATTTTGTTAAAAACTTTTATAGCTTAAAGCACTCATTAGCTAAAAAAATACAGAAATATTTATAGCATTAAGTCCCCATTAGTTCGAAAAATGCTAGATTATTACAACTTAAAGCCTTCGTTAGATTAAACAAAATATAAGATGTTACAGGTTAAGCCATCAAAAGCTCTAAAAATGCAATAATTTCATACCTGAAAGCCCTCATTAGCTCCAAAAATGTTAATGTTTTTCAGCTTAAAGTTATGATTATCTCTAAAACTGTAAGAGAGTTGCAGCTCTCGTTACCTCCAAAAATGCAAGAAATTTACAGCTGAAAGCACTTATTAGTTCCAAACAACCTCTTACATTGTAATTAATCAAATAACCCATTATTTCCCGATTTCGAAGAAAATGAACCTTCTTATATGTAGAACAAGAACTTTAGAAGGTAATAAAGAGTGATCGAAGTTTTCCTGAGGGTCAGTGGAACAGAGTATCTGGCATGTCTTGCCCAAGAGCCACTTTGGAGAGGGTGACATCAATCGGCTTCTCAGGATCATATAGGGAGGGTGCTTGCAGGAAAATGCCGCACGTGCCGACGATACACGCGAACGTGAAGATGTAGAGAAAAAGTCGGTCTATCACCATAGCCACATATTTCCAATCTTCTTTGATCTGTAACAAACACACATATTTATTAGGTTCATTTTCGAATACATGAAATAGAATACACAAAAAACATTTTAGTAAATTACGCAGTTTTAATTATATGCTCTAGAATAATTTTTCTACTTATCGTAATACAATAGATGCCTGTAATATGATCACTGTTAATGTTATGATTCAGATATTGCTATAGAATGGTCGAAGTACAGTGCGAAAAAAAAAAGGGGGGGACAGGTCTATATCTCTCGTTCTACTGGGCCGATTGACGAAATTCGAATTGCGTTTTTCCTGTCTCGAAAGTGCGACACTTAGGATATATATTAGATTTATATATAGCACTATTCTAACATAGGTATTTTAACACAAAAATCGGACTTTTTCAGAAATAACATACCAAGTTTTTTACATATTTCGATTTTACGACTCAAATTATCAGACTACCAAGTTTGTAAAGTCGTACGATTAGTTTTTAAAAAAATAGCTCTAAAAATTTAGCTCAGTGTTGGGCAATATTTATTAATATCTCTTTTTATTAAACTTTTGATTTTTTCCTCACATGTCGAAATTTAGTTCATTCCAAATAAAATTCACCTATTTTTTTATTTTAAAATTTATTTTTTAAGTAATTTTTATAAAATTTTTTAAAGCGATTTTGACTTATAACCTACAAAAAGTTTTACCATCAACCATAAAGTAGGTTGTAGTTTTAAGCATACCTAAAAAATTAAGAGTTTTATCAAAATTTCTAAGATATACACGAATTTACATATTCGCGTTTTGAAATTTGGGCATTTTTTTGAGCGAAATAACGCCAATTGTGGTTTATGGATTTTTGTTACAGCGAATTGCCACAGCTATTTTTAACCTTAAATTTCAAATAAATTTTACGGAGAATTAATTATATGAAATATTTTCCCTCAATGATGCATAAATAATTTAATACTATATAAAAGCTATTTTTTTAAATTATAGATGATATTACTCAAATTTTAAGTTGTTAAAAATTTTTTCTCCTTTTTTTAAAAAAAAAATATTTGAAGTAAATTTTTACCTTCGACGTTGTATCGTGTTATTTACTTTGACTGAAATAAATTGAATTGTCTTAAAACTGAGAAAGTCGTTGATTTTTTTCACAATGTTTTTTAAGCAAACAGGACTGGACAGTTTGAGTCAATCAGCTTTAAAATTAATATAAAGTATAAATTTTTCATAATTCACTTCGAAAGAATGATTTTAGTAGCTAATTTTCTGTCGTGTTATACAGTCGTGACCAAAATGTGAACACTTTTGAAATTTTATGTTTTGAACTTTGTATGTTTAAGAAAATGTTCGTTTCGCAAAATGCAAATTGTATATATCATTTTAAAGAGAATTTTACTCAATTCAATACAAATCAAAATTCATTGTTTGCAATCAAAAAGTTATATGTACTTTAATTAAATAAAAAACACATTTATGAAGTTGTTTGTAATGTCTAGCTTTCTGGCCAATTACTGTTCTGTTCTGAGATCAATCAAATGGTAGTAACTGCCAGTAGAAACTGACATTATGTTTACACTTGAAACAATTCATTATTTAGCTTTGTTCTGAAGAAGGAGGACCTGTTCTTATACACTGCAATACAGTGGAATTTTTAAAAAATTTTTAATTTGTTACGAATTGGTATTTAAAAGCTAATGTAGTTCAATTAAAACTAAATGGTTTCATTTCGCGCGCAGTGCAGCGCATGACGAATATTAAAAGAAAGAAAGCTAAGCCGGAAAATTAAAATACAAGTGCACGTGCATTTAACATTAAATAAATAAATACGTCTTTTGATTTCGGGGAAAGTACAGAAAATTCTCGCCACGCGATTTAAAAATCTTAAAAGGAGAGGAAAACTCTCAGTTCGTAGTAGTTGCTTAGTTTGTTGTTGTTTAGAAAACTGCTCTTGTTGACTGTAGCGAATTCGCGGATTAGCTTTCTTTAGCTGTTTTGAATTAACTTCTATTGAGTTTTGAGTAGTTAAAAGATAACTACTGTGAGATATTGTAATACTGCACGAATATTTTAGGAAATTGAAGCATATTTGTTGTGATAATAATAAAGTTTTGTTCATTTTTCTTCGTGCATTCATTTCGTAACGAACCCGCACGCACGCAACAATTTTTGTTGTCAAGAGTGGGGTTTGAATGCCAATAACAAGAGCGATGGAAGAGCAGTTAAGGAAGTTGATATCAGCCTTTGCCCCGTTTAAAGAAGTAATGAAATTGGTCCAGGAATCCGTTAAGGACGAAATGAAAGCCGTTCAAGCTGGTCAAGAAAAGATTGAAGCAGGTCAAGAAGAAATGAAAAGAAAAATTACCTGCATAATAGAAAATAAATTTGAAGCTATGGAAGGCAGAATTGACACAGTTGAAAATAAAGTGGACAAATTGAAGAAAACGTTTCCTCCGTAAAAAGGTCAAATTGAAGTAAGAGTTTCTCGGTAAAAGAAGAATAGAAGAAAGAATTTCTTCTGTAAAAGAACATATGGAAGGGAGAAAGAGTTTCTTTGGTAAAAGAACAAATAGAAGAGAGAGTTTCAGCTGTCGAACAGCAAATTGCTAATAGGGTTTCAGCAGTTGCGACAGAAGTTGATACTTTAAATAGAAGATTGTAGCGACGTCAGGAAGCAATTCAGATAGTTTTAAATTTTTATCGATGCCTGCTCGTCCCTCTCTGAAACTAGCTACATATGATGGGAAGACCTCCTGGCAAGTGTATAGGACACAATTTTGTATCGTTGCGGATGGGATTCCCAAACTAAGGCTTGTCATCTCGCCGCTTCTCTCAAAGCAGACGCAGTGGATATCCTGCAGATGCTTCCAGAAAACCAAAGACTTGACTTTGAAGCTCTATCCGGTGCATTGGAGCTGCGCTTTGGTGAGAAGTGTTTAAAATACTACAGCAGGCTTCAATTAAAATCCCGTCAACAGAAGCCCACCGAAACACTTCAGGAGCTCGCCACGGATGTTGAAAGGCTGTCACATCACGCCTTTTCGGAGTGCCCGACAGAAACAAGAGAAATCCTGTCGCTGCAATATTTCATCGATGGCATTCGGAATCCCGAAATACAGAAGGCTCTACGAATGGCGGATGTTAAAGATATGAAATGCTCTTTAGAGTACGCCATGAAATTCGAGGCAGGCCAGCAAGCCACTCGTCGAGACCGCCACCCAGTCAGAGCGGCTCAAGTGCAGGAGTCAGGGGATCAAGTCATCGCTCGTCTACACGATTTAACTAGACAACTGAACGCCTTGAGACGGAATATTGGTGAGAAGAAACCGACCGTTAAGTGCTGGAACTGCGGTGCTGAAGGACACATACGACGAAACTGCAGAATACCCCAGGGTACGGATGTTAAGACCGCTCCTAACAAACAGCAGGAAAACTAATTAGTGGCCATCTCGCGAGGCGGAGTTTGCCAGATAAAGAAAAGCCCCAGTTTTAAGCGCTTAGATTTCTGCAGTGAGAGGCCGGCAGTAATGGACTTTTCATAATAGGAAATATTATGGAGTTCCCGCAATATGACGATAGATACAGGAGCCAACGTTACCATCATCGAAAAGGTTTGGCTCAACAACTGGGAAACAAACTTATGTGGACGCCGCCCTGCGTTACCCTCCAGACTGTGTCAGGTGAGAAGATCGACATCAACGGAAAAGTAAATGTTAACATCACGTTTGGAAGTTCCGCTTACCATCACACGGTATATGTAGCACAGATCACTGATTCTTGCATACTCGGATTGGACTTTCTAAGGAAATACAAAAATTTTTCCTTGGACTTTAAAAATAACGAACTGCATTCTACATCTGAGGACATAACGTTATTTGGAGTTAATGATGAAGAAGTTAAATCTATCCACAAAATTATAGCTCAAGACATATAACAATACCCCAGAACCGAGTTTTTGCTTCCTGGATCCATAGCCGAAAATAGAAAAATTTCCGCTACGGCATCATAGAATATCCCAATAGCGTAATAGCCCGAAAAGGAGTACTAGTAGCCTCAACACTCGTCTACCTATCCAAAACGGTTATTCCGATAAGAGTTGTCAATGTAACTGAGAAGGAGAGAGTTGTTAAGAAAGGTGAAGTGGTTGGTGCATGTAATCCAGTAACCAGCGTTGAAAGAAAAAGTAACATCCAAGAATCCGTGTCTTCAGAAAGCATTACATTGGAGTTATTGCAGAATGCGCAATTAAACGATGAAGAGAAGAATGCTGCCGATCGCGTCATTAATGATCTTCAAGTTGTTTTCTCCCGCTCGTCTTCTGACGTGGGTCGAACTAGTTTGACACAACATAGAATCGATATCGGCGATCATCCCCGATCAAGCAACATCCGAGACGTCTACCGTTTGCTAAACAGGAACAGGTACGAACTCTTTTAAAGGACATGCAAGAAAGCGATGTCATCAAACCTTCAGCAAGTCAATGGGCATCTCCTATCGTCCTAGTCAAAAAGAAAGACGGCTCAACAAGATTTTGCGTCGACTATCGCTGGTTGAATGAGGTTATGAAGAAAGACAGTTACCCTCTTCCTAGAATTGACGACATTCTAGACACTCTTTCTGGAAGCAAGTGGTTCTCAACACTTAATTTAAAGAGTGGGTATTGGCAGGTAGAAATACAACCTGAAGACCGAGAAAAGGCATTTATTACGGGACAAGGGCTTTGGCAATTCAAGGTGATGCCGTTTGGACTGTGTAATGCGCCGGCAACATTCGAACGTCTTATGGAGACTATTTTGAAAGGCCTTTCCTACGAAGCCTGCCTGATATACCTGGACGACATCATCGCTGAGTCCCGCTAAATGCAAATTGTTCCGAAAGGAAGTGACTTACTTGGAACATGTCATCTCTGCAGAAGGTGTACGCACGGATCCTGAAAAGGTATCAGCGGTTAAATCCTGGAAACGTTCCGAAAATATCCATCAGCTGAGAAGCTTCCTAGGGCTTTGCACCTACTATAGGAGATTCGTGAA